TCGTGTCCTCGAGTAAATGTGAGGCAATATTTTCGATATATTTTGTTGACATTTGACATAGGACACCAATATGTTACCACAAGATTGACGTGCGCCCCGAATTCCGCGCCCACCAAGAATTGAAATTAATGTATCAGACATTTATATTCAGTTTTTTTTGTGAGGCGATTTATATTATTAAATGACATACTATCATTCACGCATGTTTATTCCGATTCTTTCGTTACATGATACTTATTTATATTGAGTTAGTTTGGGCCATCGTTACGCATGAATGTGCTACGTATTTGCGTCAACATCTACACTGCATCAATTTTGCAAGAAACAATTCTTGTGGAAACATTATGTAATTTTAGACGTGTTTTGATGTATTGCACACATATAAGCACTAGTTTTGTTATATGGGGATTGCGTGACTGCGTAATATCATTATTGGTAAGTTGTCGTGGCCGACTTTGCGCATCCTCCACCTCACGACTTTGATGCCTTCGTTCGCATCTTCTTCTTCCTGCTCTAGTCTTTCTTTCTTACTATAAAAATTTGTTATTTCGTCGTCGTCAATAAATTACGTCATCAATCAACAATGTCAACAGATATTTGTTTATACACGGCATTGTTGTGGAACACAACAATGCCCAGTACAACACAACAATGCCGAGTAAACAAATAACGCTTCACTACCGAGCCAGTCGCATTATCACTGCTCCAGAAGAAGCACGTGGAATCGCATTATTGATAATTTTCTGACAGTTGTCCTAAAACATCAGAAAAGTGAAAAAAGACGTTATCAACTATTTGAAGTACCACATCCAACAACTGGAACAAGGTAAAGTGATACTAATAATACTACTCATATATACTCGATATATTACGATTACGAAACTATTATGATCGATTTTAAGACGAAGATTTGCAAGGGTGGGGTCGGACGTAAAAAGTTCACTGAACAACAACTTGGACGTAGATAGTTGACTGACCAAGAACTGTTGACCTCTGAACAGCGACGAAAAGAACTAAAACATCGGAACTATTTAACAAATAAAGAAAAACTAAGGAAGACATACATTTATAAACGTAGAATAACTTATTCACCAAGAGTAGAAGAGAAAAAACGAAGATATGTATGGATTGGGTTAGACGTAAAAAGTTGGCTGACCAAGATCAGTTGGCCTGTGAACAGCGAGGTAAAGGACTAAAACATCAGAATTATTTAACAAATGAAGGAAAGCGAAGTAAGACTTACATTGATAAAAGTAGAAAAACGTATTCAACAAAAACAGAAGGGGAAAAGAATCAGACGAAAATTTGCAGGGGTGGGGCTGGACGTAGAAAGCTGACTGACCAAGAACAGTTGGCCTCTGAACAGCGACATAAAGAAGTAAAAAATCAGATTAGAGAAAGTGCTCCGAATAAGACACTAAATTAACACCCCGAAGGGGGATAGTTTAGTGTCTTACTCAAGAATTTAAAACGCAAACAACCCCCCAGAGGGGGGGGTTCGCCAAGTGTTTAAACCACCCATTCAGGGGGTTACTTTAGTTTCTTACTCAGGGGTTAAAACACTTGAATGAGATACTAAACTAACCCCCCCGAAGGGGAGTTAGTTTTGCGTGTTACTTAAGATTTCAAAAAGCAATGGTCAATTGTTTTAACCCTCAATTCGTGGCGGTTAGTTTAGTTTCTTACACAAGGTTGGTGGCGTTTTACAAACTTGATCAACCCTCCCTAGGAGCTCCAAAAGGAGCGCCCTGCTCTAGTTTATAAAAAGCGGTAAGACATAATATAGTATGAATATCATTAACCTACCTGTGGCATGACGTCCATACAAAATTTCAATAACTTCTGAGCATCCATTCGCTATTTCCAAATTTCGTGCGCAGGAAGCCATTTTGCACTGATCCAGATTACTCCGTTTTGGTTGGTTTGGGTTAGGTTAGGTTAGGTTAGGTTAGTGGAGCACCTGCGCAGACGTTGTTGCGCAGTGCAGTCATATGACGTGTGCATGTGAGGTCACCTTGATCTCGTTATGGTCAATTGTAAATTATTAAACACTCAAAAATTCGATTCCGTCACTTTAAAAAGTATCTTATATTCTGGGCTTCAATTTCGTACCTAATTTAATCTTTTTACAAGGATATTATATTGGACACATACTTTCAGTAATTGCAAGCACACCAATCACTTATCACTTAAATATGATGTTATTGAATATTTCATTGTGGAAGTATATATGTTGTCACACGAAGAAGAATTTATTAAAATATTTATTTAATTTTATATTAAAATAACAACGTAAAAAAAGTTATATGCATATAGTCGATGGTAATTTCAGCTAAATTTTTATGTTTAAAGTCAGTAGACGTAATAAGGCAACCTTCATTTGAAGCAATAAACAGATAAGTGGAAGAAACTAGACAAGCATATGTTGGCACAAGCGCGTCTTTTACGCAGTGCTTGTACTCATAAATCGAAACGACTGTGAGAGGGATATAATATTAAGCTCTTCTTGAAAATGGGAAAATGATTTCATTGTTTTGCCTCGTATCGCGGAAGTCTTGTAGCGCTTGGTGGTGAGTAATGCATTTCCAGCTGGCTGCCCAGAAATGACAATTACACTTCGGATTATCAGTGAATGCACTGCTGCAGAATCGTTTCTAGAGAAGTCTCTGGTCTTTCTGATCACTTTCATGACACCTACAGAAAACTCAGTACTCAGCCTATCTGTATTATGCGGGCAGTGGACATTACTCAGGCTGGTCCTCACCTCTTATCATCAATTGTAAAGATCGTTTTCTTAAATTACGGTCTTGATGCTGTGTCAATTTCTAAACTTATAATTACCCATATTTTTTTATTGCGACTACAAATTGGCGAAAGGCCAAAATTTCAGACCCCTGAGCACCTTTCAGCATGAGAACGAAAAATTCTGATCATTCTGTGAGAACCTACTGAACCTGATTTGGCTATCGATTTGATATCTTGACCCACTGCTGTATACTGATAACTGTACTTACATGTGCAGGATTTAGCGGATCCAGGTGTGATACGGTACAAATTCCGCGTTGACTTGGCGTCATGGTTTCAAAATCAGATTACCTTTCACTTTAGCTACACGGCTGACTGTGTTTTACTGTAAATCCACTTCTGCTATCTGCTGTGATTTAAATGATTTGAAACTCGTCGTACTCATCAACGCGCACGAAGTGAAAGGCTCGTTCTTATGTGTTGGCAGCAGTAAAACTCCGTGCGTAGTTGGTGTGTTTGTCCCCACCACTTCGATTCTCTATAGAATTACAATGACTAACCTGCACACCTAACTGCTACTTCATATTCCCTGAAATACAGATGACCATGATCTCACCTTACCCTCTTCCCAAGCATCCGGATGTGGAGTTTCGCTTTGTGTGCATGCCTCACGCGAAGGACGTTCTCTACTTTTATAATGTGGGTAAAAATAAAGATGCCATAAATTAAAGTTTTTGCTCATGTTCGATGTGGCACGTCTCGTCTGAATGCAAATTTGTCTCATACTCCACGTAACAGGTCTTTAACACATCACAGATTTTGTCTAGTAGTTCGTTCTAAGTCTGTGTCAGAGAAAAAACAAACTTTGTATTAGACATAGTATCAGGAATAAAAATCAAGGAGTGTGAGGTCGGGCACATTTTGCACCAAGATTGTTTTCATATGTTCAGTGAGTATCGATATGCATACCGAATTCGAATAAGTTAGGATCGAGGTTTGTGTCGATAGTCGAGCATAATAATATAGGAAAAGCGCACAGGTGTGCATAAGAAAGTTTTTCTGTATCTAGTACGTCCTAGTCCTTGCCATATTCATTGATGGATTTGGTTCTGTTCTTACATTTTGTTACGTGCTATCTGTCGCATCGTTGATCACATAGTTCACATACACATTCGGATCTTGGTTCGTGGTAGAGTTTCGTTTTACAGATCTTGTGGTGGTAGCCGTGAACTGCCAGGCTTGTTATTGCGTGCCGCAGTGATTGGTTAGGTCCTGTCAATGCCCGGTCGGTCATCGCGCTTGTGGTGTAGAAGTCCAGCCATATATCCTTCCTTTTCCATTTCCTCTCTTCAAGTAGTCGCGACGAGTTTTTCGTAGATGGCAGCATAGTCGAGCATAGGCAGATAGTCTTTGGTTTCATCTGTGGTAAATTCTGTTATCTTTGGTTTCTGGTGAACAGAAGAAACGACTGTGATGATTAAGATGTGTTTTTACAATTCATACGGTTTTGTTTCATCTGCTATTGCAGTGGAAAACGATATTATAAATATATACTGTTATATAGACAATTTAGAAATGTTACATTTATTAATAGGTTTACGAGGTTTTTAGACATCGTCTTAAGCAGGTAAGTAACAGGCATCTAGTGTTGTTTCGTATAATTATATTCGCTGTGGATCCAGTTATTTCCATGCTGTTACCATGTGTAGTACAAATTAGTAGAAGTGATGCTTGCACCAAATATGGGAATGCCCTGGAGTTTGTAGTTCTTGATTTTTTGTGGTTTAAAATGTTATTTGGTTTTCAAATTACCATTGGTTTGCATTTAAAGATCATGTATTTCCACGTAGTTCATGCTACTCTTGGATCATTTTATTTCATATTGGCCTGTTACAGTTTTCGTAAGGAATTTTGTTGGATGTTTTTGATTTCTGATATTTCCGTTTCATTATTTTAATTATATTTATCAACATATTCATCCACCGAAATTACTTGAATTGCAGGGAACAGAATACACAACATCCACATCTGTATTGCTTTGTCTTTGTTTTGTGTTGTTGTATGCTGTTTACTGCATTGTTCATTTTACAACTCATAATGATCCTTGAATTTGTGTTGTTGTTTAAACATGTTGGCACAAGGTGGTATTTATTTTCTGTAGAGTGTTTCACTTGCTGGTTTTCCTTATCACTTGAAAGATTTGATGTTAGCATGTTGCTGAAGGCATAACAACTGAACAGTTTCACTGAGTATGTGCATTTACATGTCACAAGATGTACAAAGCAAGCTCTAGCTTAATTTGCTGCAATACTACTGTTCTGAAGTGTTTTGAAGCTACTGTGTATTAATTCATCCTTGTGAGATTTCAGATTCTTGTGGTGGTGAGTATGAAAATGACAGCATCCTGGGATACTGCTCCATGCAGTTTTCCAGAAATTGGCTAATATTTCATGCATACTGCAACCTTCATTAGGGCAATGAGATGATAATGGAGGCAGTATGGACCTCTGAAATGTTGGTAAACATATCCCAGAAGGCTGTTTTCTTTTTGGATTAGATATTATTTTTTAAATAAATTTATTATTTGCTGCCATATTCAGACTTCATAGCTAAGATGTATGGACTTGCTGTTTAGTCTGTTTGTGTTTTTTGTGGAAAGGGTGCACATTTTTATTTCACCTTCTTGTATATAATAGCTAATTCCTTGCATTATGGTTCTTCAGAAGCTGATAATCATTCAGTTGGTCAAGAAATTTCTCACTTTCTATTGAACACAAATTTTCATTTGTTTGCTCTTAAGGGCCAACCACTGGACCCTATCTCAACAACCTTTCCAAGTCTATGGTTATGTATAACATTTTAAAACATGCTTTTTTGTGCTTAAGTATAATTTGTACATTTTTTGTCAAGGGTCTTCAAACGATAAAAATGGCTTCAAGACGTTTAAGAATAAAGCCTGTTGCTAATGTCCCTGTCCGTCGAGGGAAGGTGAACAGCGAGAATGTAAGAACTGATGAAGCAGGTGAGAGTGGAGAGAAGGAAGACATGACAAAATTGGAACAAGAAGGATCAGACACTTTGTCCATGGGTGGAAATTCACCAAATAATAACTCCTTACCTTGTGAAGATAGTGAACCAAATGATATTCCACACAATGTTGTGATTGCTTCATCCTCTCAGAATATAGATTGTTGCCTTAAAAACGTTAATGAAGTCTCATCTGCAAGTCAACATGGTACAGATGAAACTGTAAAGTCACAAGAAAGTGAGGTTGGGAAAGCTGAGGTAGATGCAAGCGAATCAGCTGCTTGTAAAAGCAAGTCCCTTGTTTTGTGTACAACACCATTATTAGATAAGATTCCACTGGGACCTGTTCGGAAGCGTATGAAGCCTGCTGTTAGCATCCCTGCAGTTACAAGAAGACCAAGAGTGTTGTGTAAAGTTGTAAGTGATGATAAACTGGAAATTGTATCATCACTTGTTAATTCTAATAAAAATATCCAAGAAGGAAGTGTACAGCAAAACATAGTAACAGATGAGAATGTTAGTGAGGGGGCCAGTATTATGCTTCCTTGTTATCAGAAAGGAAATAATGAGGTGTCTTTGTCAGGTGGAAAGAGTATTGGTCTTGGAGTTCCAGGAATAGCACAAATAATACCTACTGGAACAGCTATTCGTCCTCAACTTGACGGTAATATAGGTGTCTCCGGACAAATTTATGGGAATGGAGAAGCCCCCCATTCCTTGCCAGAACCAGATTTGCCTTCAGAAGAAGCTGGTGGAGGGTATAGTAAAGTGTTACTAAAGCCATCATCATCTCAGGTGAATGTAGTTCAAAGATCAAGATTCATTAAACCAAGACCTCAAATTTTGGATCCGAGCGTTCGTAAATGTAAGTCTGTGGATGGCAGCGCAAGTAATCGTGAATCTGATGACGCAAGTAAAGCACATTCTTCAGATTCATTTCCATTTAATAATGACAGTGGGAAAGTTGTGTCAAGACTTGATTGGCAAACTCCAAATCTGATTGACAGAATTGAAAGTCTGAAACCAGAAAATGCAAGTGCCACTGAATCAGAAGATGAATCTAGGAGATGTGTATCAGATACTGATGATATATCTCCTCCAGCCAGAAAGTCTGTAGAAACATCCAGGGGAAGGTTTGTAAGGCAGACTCCTCGGTTTATTGAGGCTTCAATGAGACGTCACAGTATGCAGGTTAATGCTGTTGAATCAGAAGAAGAACTTTCGAAACAGACTTGCCTAGTAACATCACCTCACAAGAGGCATGCTGATACATCTAGGTAAGCTGTAGTGGGAAAGAAAGGGAGTAAATGCATGATAGAATTTTGAAAGGATATGCAAAATTCCCTTTTGGTTGTGGTCATTTCAAGTTTTTGCAACACATAAATATATGAGTAGCTATAGTTGGTAAAATTGTCACCTTTTTTTTAAAAATGGTAGTTCACACTTGGTAAACAAATTCTGTTGATGAAATTATACCTGATTGTTGGACAGTGTCCAGTGTCTGAAGAATATTTGATGTACATGACTTTGGGTGGTGAACAGTTGCCATTGAGTGCCAAATTTTTTTCTTCAAATTTTGTTTTATGTAATGTTGGTCATAATTAAACTGTATACAAGTTTGATGCAAACTATGTCAACTCTGCATTTATATTATATATTTTCTTGTAAATATATATTTGAACATTTACTTTTTTACTCCTGGTAGCTCATTTATTGTCAGACAGGAGCAAAATGGAACTTACGTTGTCTATAATTTATTGAGTGCCTTGTCTAAACTCTGCAGTTAATTGTGGAGTATTTACAGACATTGTTGGATTACTACCTGTAAAATTAATGGGTGCCTGTACTTTAATTTTTCATTGACTGATTGGGTGTTTGTTTCATCAGTGAGGAACCAGCAGCAACACCAAATGACTTTGGATCCTTTGAGGAAGCAGATAAGAAAGTCACCCGAGTTCGTCGCACTGCAAGCAGTGGTATGCAGCGTATGGCAAGAGCTCGACAAGAGTTTCAAAACAAGTTTGGGAACCAAGCACCTGATCGGAGCCGCCTTACAATGTTTGATCTCATATTTTACAACCCAACTACAAACCCAATGAAGTAAGAAGTTAGCAGCTGTATTTGTGTGTTTTACATTACGGGTAGGGCTCGGTTTACGCCGGGGTTAGGTTCCTGAGATTTCCGGTGTAAAATGAAGCAAAAACATAATGGGAACATATGTAAATACATTAGGTTCCGTTCCAAGATTTTCAGTAATCAACACAAAATACTTGAAAAATGTTTAATTTTATGAAATTTACGTATTGAAAATTGTATAATGTTTAAGAAAAAGAAAATTTACTGCTTTGAAAATGATAGAAGATGTCTTTTTGGTTTTCTTCTTTTCTGATAATAAGTTATAGTATGGATGTAGAACTATCTCAATTCCACTCTTAATGGTTGAGCTTCACTCCCAGTTGGGGCTGTTTCTACAGAAGATCTCACATCCCTTATTAATAAGAGCAATAGCCTCTTGCATTGATTTCACTGTTGGTGTCCTAACCAGCATTGCAGAGTCAGCTTCACTTTCCTCTTTGTCGTCTTTGGACAGTTGTTCAGCTAGTTCTTCTAAATCTTCGGTTGAAAGCTCTTCACCATGACACTCAAGGAGCTCATTTATGTCGTCACATTTTATATTCCATTTTTTGTTTAATTATTTAAATTTTAGAATGTATTTTATCATTTAGTATTATAGTTTTATTACAATATCGGGACCATCTGTGTCTAGGAAGTCGGGCAGAGTAATGACTCATCATCCCCTTCAATCGTGATCTACAAGAGGCGCAAAAGTGAAGCGGCGTAAACCGAGTCCTTCCTGTATTTAATTAATATCTGTAACATTTAACAAAACACGATCAGTGAGTGGCCCAAGTTCATGAAGCTGAATGATGATGACACCACATTCTGTACTGTGTTTAATGATAAAGAAAGAAGTAAATCTTACATTTATTTGTTTTTATATCTTCCTATTTTCATATATGAAAACTGTATTTTGTATGTCCTTACTTGTAGAATTCAGTCTGTCAGATCTGAATCATACATATTTCTACATCAGAATTTGTTGTTGGTTGGAATAAAGGCAATTGAAATTTATTTTTAAATGTTTAATTTTGCAGATGCTCAGACCAAGGCAATGACAGTTCCAGAGTTTCTCAAAATCAAAGTAGTGATGAACAGTAAGTGTTTACATTTATTTGCCTTCTACTTGTAACGGTTGTCACACGCACACATTAGTTCTGGCTACAGTAGTGTGTATTCCCTCAGTTTTAATCTGCTCTTAATTTCTCTGTTAATGTGATTTTGATTTGTTTATGTCGTTCCAAAATATTTGAACTTTGGTGTAGTTTTGAAGGATTCATTATCTATCTGTGTATTATGATTTTGCTCTGTATTCTGAGGATAGTGGAAATAACATTAAAAAATTATTTCAGTATAATTGAAGAACATTTGGAAGAGGAGCAAGTTGATGAACCAGCTGTTGAGGGAGAGGACAGACAGAATGATAAGAACAGTGTCGAGGAGGAAGAAGGAGAAGAAGACATGGCTATGCCAGTGCCTCAAGTCAAAGTTGGGCCAGATGGTCAGATCATCCTTGATGAAAAGAGTTTGGTAGGATTTTTTTATTATTGGTTTACCAACGGATGTAAAGCAAAGAAAACAAAAAGGTGTACCATCTGTTATTGTTGACCATTTGAACATTGGTGTTTGCTATGTATAAAAACACAGTAACAAAATTTGTAATAGCTCAAATCTTGTCTAATTAATAAACTTACCCACTCAGTCTGCAGTACAAAGTTCTTGAGCATTTTGGTTATTTGGCTAATCAAATTATTTCGTGTTACAGGATCTAGAACAGGGGTTTTGAACTTGTTGGCCACGCATTTGCTTTGTATAGTTTGCATATATTTTTCAAAATATTGTGTTAATTTATATGATGAGAAATAGTCACATGATGTGATTTTTCTCAGTCTCTGCCTATTATTTAATGATGAAACTGATGTGATGTATGGTATAAGCGAAACAGGAAAATACCGAAGTGTTCTTCTTCTATGGCTCTCCGGTCCGTATTCGGTCCATGGCCTCCTCAATTCTCCTCTTCCATTCGACCCTATCCTCCGCTGCCTTCTTCCAATTTCTAATCCTCAGGAGCAGTGTGGCATCCGTTTGAACTGCATCCTCCCATCTGTTCCTGGGTCTTCCAACTGGTCTTCTTCCTCCAACACTTCCTTTGAAAATGTCCAAGTCAGTCTGTGTTAATTCAGCTTAGCTTGCTGTCCAATATGTATTGACTAGATCTTCAACTTGATGATTGTTGATCATTTGTCTCATGCTAGAAAACAGCATTCACACGACTGACTATTCATTACTTCATGAAGTGTAATTTTCCTATGTACAATGAAACTGTTCATGACTTTGATGAAAGCTCTTATGTTCAATATTTCTTTTATTTTCATTTAAATAGTTTTCATAGAATCAATGCATATCTGCAACTTGGAATTCCTTTTTAGGTGATAGAAACAACAGGCGCAAAAAAGAGCAGAGAAGATCTTGCTAATTCTGCTGTAATAGTTGATTACGGTACAGGGTATGCAGGCTATGGTACTTACAGCAAGAGGAACAAGAAATCGAAGGAATGGTCTAAACAAGGTTTGTGGTATTCTAACTCACATCTGTGCTATTCTTCAAATTTGTGTGTCGTCTAATTTAATTATAAAGTGTTTAGTGATCACAGTAGTTTTTGGCCGTTGGAATTTTCAAGGGGAAGGCTAGGAGCGAGACACTTGTACAATAGTACAATGTTTCGTCTGCCTCCAGGAATGACGAGGAGCTTATCGGACTGAAAGCCCAAAAAAAAAAGAAATACACTGACCGTGCCACCTCAGGTATACAGAGTAGGCCCATCCGCCAGCTCCGCAAGCTTCTTCACCAGCCAAAAACTACTGCGCTGACTATTCTCTTTTTAGGGTATTTTGATGAAGTACTTTTGCATTTGACAAGAACAAGGGGACTGTCATTTTGATGTGATTGGCTTTATTGTTTTGTTTTACTAATGTATTGCATGTCAGTTATTTCCTCTCTGTGTGACTTTGTTGTTATAAAACATCAGTGTTTTTGTTACAATTGGGGTAAATTGAGATATTAGATGAAAATCTGAGCTCTTTGATAGCTTATTCAAATTTGCAAGAATTATTCTTTCTAAGATATTTTCAAATTATGCAGGCTGTCTAAATTAATTTTGCATCAGTTTGATAATATTATCTTTATCAAACATGTCACAGTCCATCTGGCCATGCATTGCTGTCTGTGACAGAACCTACAAACTCGGGGATTATGGTGGTAAGTTGCTAGACTGGATAGTTCACTGCTCGCAAACACCCATGCCATGAATATGATTTGTGTTCTGTTGGCCTTATAAGCCGTATCACTGAAGTCAGCTTGGAAGCTTCTTTATAATTAAATTGCCTAAATGTGACTGGGTGAATAGAAATTACTTTATACACATATGAATGTGTTTTGTTGTATTTTACATGTTGTCACGATGTAAGCTGAATCTACCAAGGATTAGATAGTCGAGATTGCGATGCATCTCTTGAATTGCCACTAGGAATTCTGAACTTGGTCGAGATGCTTGGAATTTTGTCTTGCTGTGGACTTCTGTTCACACAGACCTTTAACCTTTGAAGGCTGATAGGAACATCAGTGTCTTATGAATTGTAATTGAATCATCTGCTTTAATGGGTATGATTGTTTACTAACATCTCCCTGAGTGTTGCAAAAATGTCGGAAGCCCTAATGATGGAAGAAGCAAACGTCTCTAAATTTGTACCAGACAATGTGATGCAACATTCCAGAATACAGTCATCTTCCTGCTTGTTGCTGTGAGAACTTGAAATCTCACCAAATTTGTATTTGGTTTGCATGTTATGATGTGTGTCATATTCAGGGCATCTTACTTGTTAACTTTGTTTGCTAAGTTTGTCACTGTTTTGTGTATAAATTTGTGTGATATTATTTCAAATACTTGGAAGGAAGTTGTAGAGAGTATAGATTTTGTTTTTGTGCTGGCTTACTTTAGTCCAAGTGATGGTTCACGGAAAATAAGATTTTTAAAATTGTGAAGTTAATGGATCGAATCTATTCCATAAGAAGCATAATATTTTGTGTTATAATAGTTGTGAAATGTTAATGGGTGTTTTTATTATATTTTGTAATTTAACAATGACCTAGGATATTACTATGTTTGTTTTCGATGCCATTGGTAATGCCTAAGCTTTCTCAAGCTTGTTGGAAAGCACCAATTGGCAGTGGCGACAGCTTAAAGCTATGATTAAAGTAGTCTTAAGAGTGTGGTCTTGATGTGCTTGGTGGAATTACACTTGCCATGTTTAATAGAGAATTTTTTGTTGTGTTTGCAGAGACCCTGAAGTTCTATAGGGCTCTTAATACAGTAGGCACAGATTTTCTTCTAATGCAGTCCATCTTTCCCAAACGAACAAGACAAGATTTGAAAATGAAATTCAAGAAAGAAGATCGCATGAATAGATTCTTAGTTGAGAAGGCTCTTCGTTATCCATTGGACTTTGATCTTACAGAGTTAGAAAAAGACCTGGGTAATAAAAGTAATGTTTAATTATTTTGTTTGCTACAATAGATCAGGGATTTCAGCCACTTAAGATTGAGATCACATTACATTCACTCTTTATCAACTTATGGGCCACTTGGTTATATATAATGACATGTGGCAGTTTATTAAAAATGGTACTAAATTACTGTCTCAAACAGATTCACATATTGCTCAATTTTCATTATCATTTTTGTTTATCTGTTATTTTAATTAATTATTTACTTAAAATTACATTTTCAAACCCCCTTTTGTAGCCTCTGTCTGGAGACTAATAGCACACTTTGTAATTGACATTGAATTACAAAGTAATTCAAGCCAAGTGGGATCAAGACGTAGAATATGGCATGTCCATAACATATGTCTTCTTCTTCTTCTTCTTACACCATCATTTCTGTTTTATATAGGTCACTGTGTGATAAGTCTCTGATCTCCTCTGTCTTTCCTTTCAATTTATTCTCAGCTCTTCTGTCTGTACATGATGTATTCTTGTACAAGGCTGAACTGTCTTTTTTCTGGGTCATCCCATGTGTCTATTTCCTTTAATTCTAATTATTGTTCCATTCATTTATGTTCTGAACATTCAGACTTTGTGTCATTATTTTAAAACTTACCCTAAAGCTTCAAATGTTGAAAATACTCATCGTTATCAATATTATGTTGATAATGAATCACAGAACACTGACATGCTTGTAGGTGTTGTGCTGGTGAAATAGCTGCATGGGAAATTTCAGTGTCAGATTTTAAGTACTACAGGTCTCTTGGCATATGCAGGTGTTCTTAGGCAATGTCCTACGTAAGCATACCCGAGCTGCATAAGCAGCATGGGGTGTCATATGAAGCGGGGAATCGCTTGTTGTGTCCTACGTGAGAGACCGCAATAGAAGCACATGGCCTTCCTGCGCATGCACCTTCCCTGTACTGCAAGGTCAAGGCTTTTTTGCGCATGCGCCTTACTGGCCAGCACAGTGACTCGCGTGAAAATATCAAAATATTTGATCTCAGACTTTGGCCACTTCCCTCCTGACCGCTTCACTGGAACCTAGGACAGTGCCACACAAACAGCCAGTTTGATATTTCCGCTTCACCCACGCAACTCGCACCGCTCGCATTTAATTGCTCACGTAGGACAGCGGGTTAGAGTACTCCACCTGTAGTTCAAGTGGTTTTAGGTTGGGATCAGGGTGGGTACTCCAGTCTTCTTCTGTGTCCTATCCACCTGCCACATAAATGAGGGTTTAGATAATCTTTTATGCTTAACATGGTAATGTAGTGGTATTACATGTGGCAGAAATTTGCATCCTTAATCATTGTACATGTTGTTAGTACATACCGTAGCGTTCTCGTGAATTTTTTATAGACTGGAAGTTCCAGTGACAATACCTGCAAAAATAAATGGACGAGTAATTCTGGTTTGTAGTGTAACATCCTGGTGTGTCGTGGTGATTCTTGGTTTTATCTCGTATGTTACTTTTCTTGAAGTAAAGAACATGTCTTCAATTAGAATTCAGTGAAATGGGACTGCATGTACCATGGTTTGTATGCTGTTCAAACATACATAACTTGAGACTTTATCAAGGAAAGAATGCTATTTTAGATAGTATACCCAAAATTGTGTAAAGAATGGCTGCTGCAGTATAAGTTGTAACACTATTAAAATATTTCCTTCATATAAAGTAAAAGAAAGGCATATGCTGATGCACAAAGAATCTCTCTGTGATTAATTTCAGTATTATATTTTTAATCAAATACTTCTGATTTGTTTCTCACATTGAATCCAACCAAAAAATTTTAGATTTAGATTTATTTCTCATACTTGTGCTCTGGCACTTACAGTAATCGAATGTTCATCGAGTCAACAGAATTTCTTTAAATTCTTGAATACATGAGAACTTGGGCACATTTCTTGTGTTGAGAGACGTCTTTTCATGTCCCATTATCACTGTGGGCAACAGTTCTTTGCTTTTTGCTAATTCTGTTCAGATTCTTGGTCTAGTGAGACAGTTATAGATCCAGTTTTAATGTTGATGATGGTCTGAACAGGAAGCTTTTGATTGACAGTCAGAATTTTGTATTGGTGCCTTGTACGTAAGTCACCAGTAATTACATTTGAAGTCTTATCCCGTGTTAGGCCTTTTCACAGATCTTTTTGTGTGTGTACAGAAAAAGAAGAGGAGGAAGAGAGACACAAGAAACTCGCAAAACTACTTAAGAAAAGGTCATCTTGCAAGAAAATAAAAAAGAAAATATCTTCAAGTAAAAGGAGTGTCAGGAAAGGTATGTGTGTCAGTGATTACAACTTTCATGTATAGGATGCTACAAAAATGATTAAGACTATTACAGTCTGCAATACATAATGTACCAAAACAATCAAAAAACTTGGTACATGTAGAGAAACACTTCAAGAATTGTTTTCATGTGTTCAGTATGTGCGCCGTGAATTATGTGATGTCTAGGCAATACTGGAATTTCTTCCATGTGTACTGCAGCGTTGCTGCCTTGACTGAAGCAGCAGCGTCTTAGATCTGGCCTTGCAGCTTTGACAACAATTCTGGCATTGGCCGTCTGTAGATATAGTCCTTGATGAGACCCTAGAAAAAAAGTTTTTGGTGGTCAAAGTGTCAGTCCCTACGTCCTATCCAACTTTCAGGCAGCTGATTATTGAGAAACGCTGTCATGGATAAAGGAATATTTGGTCTTGTTGGACGAGCAAACGACCAAGAAAGTTGTCTGTCAGCTGGGAGCATAGGTACCTCTCGAGTGTATCTAGGTATGCGATATTGGTAACAGTAACAGTACCACTTTGAATTAAGAATGGTGGCAATGCTGCTGTGATTACTTTGAAATATGAAGTATTGTATTGCATGTATCAAGTTATTTAATTGTAGCTGCACTGGTGCATTAAATGTAGCCAACTGTAACTGTTTGAAAAGCCATAATAAAACATGACCTTGTTTCAGGTTTTCTGTCTGCCTCAATGGATCCTGGAGACACAGGAGACCGTCAGAATAGAAATAAGAGATGTAAGAGAAGAAGAGATGGTGGATTGAATGAATTAAGTGATGAAGGAACATCAAGAGAAAAGCGGCCCTGCAAAGCTGGCAGAGTTAATCATGAGAGAGGAGAGAGTTGTTCCTCATTATCAGATGATGACAATGAACTTGAATTTAATTATGATGATGAGCTCAAGTTTTCTGCAGAAAATGAACCACTTGATACGAATACAAAATCTGATAATGACAGTGAAGGAAGTGATAATGATACAAGAGAGCTGGAGTATCTCTCCAAACCCCCAAAACCTACAAGATCTGGTCGCATACCTCAACCGAGGAAACTGGATAGACTAGAGGATGATGTGACATTGGGAAACAAAGGAAAGAGAACGTTGAACAGATTGGTTAGTGCAAATAATATATTAAAACCTGGTGCTGAGAACCAGCCATTACCTCTTGAGGATCTTACAAATGTGGAACCTGGTTCACTGGTTGTTTTAGCTACCCAGTCTCCTACCAACCCCAGTCATCATGTGTACAAGGTGTTCATGGTACCTCCAAACCCAGCAAATTTGTCAAGTGTTGCACCTACAATGTCTCCTGTGCCAGTGTCTTTACCTTCAGCGTTACTGCAATCCATGACAGTTAATGTAACTAGTAGCCAGTTATGTGATGAATCTCATCCCACTGATGAGTGAAAAAGATTTGTATATTTGCTTGCAAAATACCCATTTTAGCCCTTTGTTATAATTTAGAATGTGGTATATTCTCCAGTCTGTGAAAGTAATAATAAATAAGTTTGTATTAATCTGGAACATGTAAACTAAGTATGATGGTGATTCAGTGGTAGATTTTTCGCTGTTATATATTGTATTTGTTTCAGAGGTGATTGTAAGAAAAATCCACATACCTATTCCCTTACAGTATATACTGATAGTCACTTCATAAGGACAGGCACAAGGAACATGTTATTTTATTGAAAAATGTAAAGTATTGTATGTCCAATATAAATGACTGGTATGTATTTAATTTACAGTTTATTATACAGACAAATACAACTGTTTTGAGCACAGTCAACTTAAGAAAAGTAATAAATATAAAAATAAAATGATAAATTAGTCAAATTAGAAAACTGTTCTGAATATAAAGTGAAAAATGTGAAAGAAGCTGCCAACAACAGAAGCCAAAAGACAATAGACATCAGTAGGATAAAAGAACCAATGAAGTCCTAAAAAATCGCTTCACTTCTGCCTTAGTCTGTGCTTTTAAATGGAAGTGGCATATTAATTTTACAGCTTAGAAAATTGTATAGGTCTTGAGAATCTGAACTGTATCCTGTCAGCATTTTCTGAGAAATTTTTTAAGCTACTTATTGTATAATTTTGTGTGTCACAGTTTGAATCTCAGCCTCTTTTTCTCTTGTACTCCGGTAAACATCCAACGTGGCACAGTGGGAGTTAATTTGTTTGCATTTATAGGATATTCGTTCTCCATGGCCTGATGGTGGCTTTATTTTTACACTCATTGTCATGTTTTTATTGTTTTGGTGTATTTACTGCCCAATATTTTGTATGGTTTTGGAGTTATCTTGCAATGGTATACACATCTCTATAAAAATAGTATTCTAGTGCTGGTAAATGTACAAGTCCAGTGAATATTTGAAGTTGATAGCATAAATGTTTTCTGAGTTTGAATCAGGTATACAAGATTTCATTTTGGAGATGGCAGCAAATTTATTGGTTTTCTTCTGTTACCATCTCACAGAAAGGTCTGTATATGCAAATATTATGAAATACTATTTTTTGACACTTCAACAGGGTGATTTGGAATGCTCCTTAAAAATTGGTACAAAAGGGTTTATTGTCCTCAAAGTTCAAGGTTTGCTTCCATTCCAGAAGGAAGTGATAATGATACAAGAGAGCTGGAGTATCTCTCCAAACCCCCAAAACCTACAAGATCTGGTCGCATACCTCAACCGAGGAAACTGGATAGACTAGAGGATGATGTGACATTGGGAAACAAAGGAAAGAGAACGTTGAACAGATTGGTTAGTGCAAATAATATATTAAAACCTGGTGCTGAGAACCAGCCATTACCTCTTGAGGATCTTACAAATGTGGAACCTGGTTCACTGGTTGTTTTAGCTACCCAGTCTCCTACCAACCCCAGTCATCATGTGTACAAGGTGTTCATGGTACCTCCAAACCCAGCAAATTTGTCAAGTGTTGCACCTACAATGTCTCCTGTGCCAGTGTCTTTACCTTCAGCGTTACTGCAATCCATGACAGTTAATGTAACTAGTAGCCAGTTATGTGATGAATCTCATCCCACTGATGAGTGAAAAAGATTTGTATATTTGCTTGCAAAATACCCATTTTAGCCCTTTGTTATAATTTAGAATGTGGTATATTCTCCAGTCTGTGAAAGTAATAATAAATAAGTTTGTATTAATCTGGAACATGTAAACTAAGTATGATGGTGATTCAGTGGTAGATTTTTCGCTGTTATATATTGTATTTGTTTCAGAGGTGATTGTAAGAAAAATCCACATACCTATTCCCTTACAGTATATACTGATAGTCACTTCATAAGGACAGGCACAAGGAACATGTTATTTTATTGAAAAATGTAAAGTATTGTATGTCCAATATAAATGACTGGTATGTATTTAATTTACAGTTTATTATACAGACAAATACAACTGTTTTGAGCACAGTCAACTTAAGAAAAGTAATAAATATAAAAATAAAATGATAAATTAGTCAAATTAGAAAACTGTTCTGAATATAAAGTGAAAAATGTGAAAGAAGCTGCCAACAACAGAAGCCAAAAGACAATAGACATCAGTAGGATAAAAGAACCAATGAAGTCCTAAAAAATCGCTTCACTTCTGCCTTAGTCTGTGCTTTTAAATGGAAGTGGCATATTAATTTTACAGCTTAGAAAATTGTATAGGTCTTGAGAATCTGAACTGTATCCTGTCAGCATTTTCTGAGAAATTTTTTAAGCTACTTATTGTATAATTTTGTGTGTCACAGTTTGAATCTCAGCCTCTTTTTCTCTTGTACTCCGGTAAACATCCAACGTGGCACAGTGGGAGTTAATTTGTTTGCATTTATAGGATATTCGTTCTCCATGGCCTGATGGTGGCTTTATTTTTACACTCATTGTCATGTTTTTATTGTTTTGGTGTATTTACTGCCCAATATTTTGTATGGTTTTGGAGTTATCTTGCAATGGTATACACATCTCTATAAAAATAGTATTCTAGTGCTGGTAAATGTACAAGTCCAGTGAATATTTGAAGTTGATAGCATAAATGTTTTCTGAGTTTGAATCAGGTATACAAGATTTCATTTTGGAGATGGCAGCAAATTTATTGGTTTTCTTCTGTTACCATCTCACAGAAAGGTCTGTATATGCAAATATTATGAAATACTATTTTTTGACACTTCAACAGGGTGATTTGGAATGCTCCTTAAAAATTGGTACAAAAGGGTTTATTGTCCTCAAAGTTCAAGGTTTGCTTCCATTCCAGATTACTGTTCATGACTGTAATCTTGAGACTATCAGGGTAAGGAAATGGGGAGGAGGAGGTAGGGAGGAACAGCATCTGCTGTGTAGTATGGTAACATAGCAACAGTTTAGAACATGTATGGTCTGGAGCTTTCATGGTGACTAAGTATAATAAATTCTTGGTTGAAAGGTGAAAAAGTTGTTTTACCTTCCAACAACCTGACACGGCTGGTAGCCCAAAAAGAATTTATTAAAGTTTAGAACATGTTGGCCACTAGTAAGTATTCTTGTGTCAATCCACTGTAGCGTAAGTAGTAAATATTATTGCTTGTGTAGTAGTTGCTGATCCATGCTGCTGCTGCTCCTGACTTTCTCGTTCTTTGCAAATCTCAAGATTACAGTCGTGAACTATACCTGTCTTGTGTGGATTGGGCAGTATTGCTAATAGTAGTACTACTGTCTGCCTCTGTCTTTTATTTCCCTTCATTGCAATGCAATGTTTTTTTCAAATTCATTATGCTATAGTGCTGTAACTTACAGAGTTATCTTCAAAATCTTTGGATTGTCTATTGCACTGTCACTTTTTCTGATATTGTTATGTGGTTATTATCTGTGATGTAGAAACATGGCCTTGATATCAACACTGAACAACAGCTGGTGATTAAACAGGCTTTGATTGTAGGGTGATGTCATTGTTATTCTTTATAAATTATTTGGTTGGGAGAATGTGGTATTTGCAAGTTACATATAAGAGGGCCTGTAAAAGTCTAAATTTATCCAGACTCATATTCTTTGTCAGTAGGTAGCACACGTATGATTATTCAGATTGAGAGCAGTTTCGAGCATTTAGCCCAATGAAGGGATTTAAAGTCTAAATGTTCTAAAGCTTTAGGGCCGGTAAAAGGTTAAACAATTGTATTTGGTGGTCTACTTGTTTATAAAATAATTAATGCAATAGATGTGAAAAACTTCAAATTTCTGGTACATAGTGGGTTTAGAAGGTAAAGGTGGTGTTTTCAAAAAGTCCCAGTTTGTTTGCAAAAGTACATCAAGTTTCTGCCCAAATATTTGCTCATTCCCCAAGGTATAGCTAATATCAGGGTAAATAATTTCTCATATGACACCAATTTAACATTAGTGAAGTTACTACCGGTGAGAGTATTGGTGTTGAAAGGTTTCTATTTTGAAGTGGTTTGCCAAATATTCAAATTTCATACTGCATTTTTGTTTTAGTTTTTTTTCTACCAGTGAACTTTGTTAAAGTACTTCTTTATCTTAATATGCTGTTGGTCCAACAAATGGTAGTGTTTGGCAAGTTTTGTAGACTCTAAAATGTTAATTTATTTGTTATGTGTTGTTATTTAATGATGTATTTACAAACAATAAAGGAACTATTACAATATTTTATGTATCTGAAATTTATACTAATCTACAGAGTTAGTTTTATGTACTCTCCTTTTCTAAAGTTTTATTATTTTGTTTGGGGGCAGTCACCCAGAATTTACTTGTTTCAATATGTGTAGTTTCCACACTAATGAAAAATCCACCATAGAATTTTTTATGTGTGTTCTCCAGGTAAATTGACATTTAGAATCACCATATTGACTTAATGTACCACACACATTGATATATAAATGTAATAAGAATATTATTTTATTGGAAGGATTTGAATTTTCAGTTCACTCTGTTGAATAAAACTGTAACAGAAGGAACCAAAAATTGTAATCAGCCATAAGGTTCACTAATCTTCCAGTTTATTTCCTGATATGATAATTTTTTTTACATTCGAGAAGTTTTCTAAGTAATAGTTTCCTTTATAACAGCTAGGGATATTTAAATTCTTTTTCTCCAAATTTGTAGTCATTTAAAAACAAGGCAGTTTGATATTTTATTTTCTTGAATCTGTGGTACTAATTTTAATGCTTTCATTTTTGAATTTACACAAAAGGGTTTAGTTAAATTACACTGACTTTAACCCAGTGGCCAAAACAAGTGGAAAATCACCAGTTTTGACTCTCTTGATGTATACAGAAGTGAAGAAATAAGTTTAGTGATCTTGCTCCATAAAAAACTAAAGAGGAATGAGCTTAAATTATGTGAAAGCAAAAGAAATCATGTTTTTACCTATACTTTTGTAGAAGACAGGAGACATTTTGCTGTTTTCAAGTTTATAATCTCTTTGTTACTGAAACAAAATATAGGCCAATACGTTAATATAACAACACATTATGTCACGATTTGTACAGACATTTGAAACATCAAAAATTTAACATTGAGCTATGGAAAAACAGAATATTAATAGAATATATTATTAAAAAACCTTCAAAGGGAACGGTTCTCAAACTCTTTACAAATCAACCAATTAATACAATGTAGAGGTACAAGAACTGGTAGTCGGTCATTGTCTGCAATTGAAATGCAACCAAATCCATTCTTGCAATTGGAATGTGACTAAATCCATTCTTGTAGTACACTTTTGTCACTATGCACCATATGAGAACAAGATGCTTAGTGGTTTAGTTATTAGCATACTAATCTATTATTTGAAGGATACCAGGTTTGATCCCAATTGCTGTCATTTAGAATACTTTAAAAAGTCATAAAGTCTGTCATTATAATGACAACCAGTCACCTGAAGACAGGAGTAGAGTTAACTCAGAAGTATCTTGTATATCAAGTATACTTCAGACAGTGGACAATATTACCTTAGAATTCCCATATCATTGAATACAATTTTTATGGTAGATTTCAAAGCACCACCTCATTCTTACAAGTAGACCTGAAAATTATGTTTCACATATAAAATTCTTCCACAATAAATTTTAGTCTTTTCTCAGTCTTTTTCTTCATCCACATTAGATGAAGTATTAATATACTTGGTTTTGATAGACGTACTGAGGTAATGTTTTCTGTCTTCAATAAACGGTGAAGCAGGGATGTTGTCGTCTGGACCAGTTGTGCGATTCATATTTGAGATAAGGTATCTGCTGCCATTGTTTCTGAAATTAAGTACATATACAAGTAGGATTTGAAGTTCTCTTGGTCAGTACAAAGATGGCTGTTGTGGTTTGTAGTGCCATGTAGTCTAGTAGAAGTTTAGCAGCTTTTCAGAGGTCCTTGGTGCATTGACAGTTTAGCAAGTGAATCAGTGACCTTTAAATGGTTTTGCATCCATTTCATTGTTGATGCAGAGAGATGACAGGCAACTTTATTTTGCAAGAAAATTTAGGGTTTTCTTTTAGTGGTTAAAACTACCCTTTATTCTAGTAAGGAATCATTCTGATATGAGTTGTTTGTTTTATAGATAGAAATCATAATAAAAGGAATTTAACTGATAATCTGAAAGAAAGCTAAACCAACACCAGTTTTACCCACATTCTGCTGTAATCTGTTAACATCTCATTTTTGACAACTGCATGCCAACTGGCAAACTTATTTATTTTTTACTGATAACCTGCAGGTTTGTCACACCAGTGTAGACTTTGTTTTTAAATGAGCACATTCATATTATTAACTTTAATATTCATTCTGAAATTATTAGAAAATTATAATGCAGCTTTCAGACAGTACAACAGAATAACTTACTTTAATACTCATAGTTTGGAAACAAGAAAGAAAAAATATAATAAATTCTTCTTGGGCTACCAGCCATGTAAAGTGGCAAAATGAAAACACTGACGCAGCTGGTAGCCTGAGAAAAATTTATTATACCTAGTCGCTGTGAAAAAAACAAACAAACACAGAAATGGATGGAATCTATATGGAATTGATGTATAGATTGATTTAGTTGTTTACTGATTGAGATATTGGGGAAATCTCTGTGATATGAATTACTGCCTAAATTGTAATATGCTGAATATACATTACCTTGACTGGCAGCATGAAAATTATATCAACCTATAATTAAAACAACCAATTGCAGATAAAAATATAGCAAGCAGTGTTAATTTTAATAACTGTTTCATTACTAATGAATCATACATGATGGCAAATCAACTGAATCACTCTATAAACATGGTCTGAATAAGGGACCATGAATAGGCAGGGAGAAGTCATGAGATATACTGTGTGTCTACAAAGTCCCTTCGGGGTTTTGAAAAATTGTGTCGTGCAAACAAATTGAGCTAGCCACATGCGGTTTTCGGCAGATTACAGTGAAACTCTGGAAGATGGTGCTCCACCTCATTGGAGTCTGCAGGTATGCGCGTACCTAGACATGACATTTCAAGGAAGATGGATCGGCAGAGACGGTCCAATGCCTTCGCCTCCACGTTCACCAGACATAACACCACTGGATTTTTTTCCTGTGGGGTTATGTCAAGAGCAGTGTGTTCCGAACACCAGTTAACGAACTTGATGACCTGAAGACTTGTATCAGGAATGCGATCTTGGCTATTCCAGAGGACATGCTCCACAGAACATGGCAAGAGCTCAAATATCGTATGAACGTTCGCTGTACCAAGGGAGCCCACATCGAGGTCTACTGAGGTCAGTAAAAGACTTCCAGAGTTTCACTGTAATCTGCCGCAAACCGCATATGGCTAGCTCAATTTATTTGCGTGCCACAATTTTTCAAAACCCTGAAGGGACTTTGTGGACACACTGCTTAACTACTAATAACATGCATTCAGTTACTTCAGTAATTTTGCAACACAGTATTTCACTTTATTAATATATAAGATTAGTTCTAGGAAATCAAACATCCCTTCAGATCTTCTGGCTGAAGCAAACTCCTCCACAAACCCTCTTTAAGCAGTGCCACTGCTTCTTGAAGGGAATATGTTTGGAACACTCGGAAGCAATACTTTATCTCTATCTCACCTGGACTGTTGTTCTTCTTGTTGGTAGAACGTTAATTCACTCATGTAATCTATTACGTCGAGGTTCAAATACTTCTGAGGACATGAGTTCTCCAGTAAGTCGTCAAGCATTTTATGCAGTTCTACAAATGTAGGTCGTTGCCAGGGTTCTGCTTTCCAGCAAGCAAACATTATATTGTACCTAAAAATAAAGTAATTAATATGTGATGAGAATTCCAACATTTTAGTCCTGATATGTTATAACAGTATTTGAAAATAAACTATTTTAGCAGATGTGAACTTTTATTATGGGAAATTTAAATAGACCTTTCATTCAATACAGTACATCTAGATGTAATTAGGTTGAGAAAGAGCTGTTTACGTTCATTTAAATTAAGTAACCACAGTGGTTAGGCGAATGAGAGAATCATGTACATTAGATGTATTTGAAATTTTTCTATTATAATGACAACACAAAAATTACAAAGCCTGTAAGAACAAGATACATACACAATTAAAACCAAAAATTACAATCATTTCTAACATATGTAATGCAGAAATAAATAAATTAAAACCTAATACATGAAATTTAAAATTATAAAAATGGAGACATAGCCATATAAATGATAACACAGTAAATACTAACATTTGGTTTTATTTAAATAAAAGTACCCTCAGTGGGTATAATTCTGTTGCTGTAAACATTTAAAATTTGTGAATTTGCTACTGTAGAACACCAAGTGAAGGGACAATATTTAAAACCTTTGATTAATATGATTCTAGAAGACTGATTTTCGTACTGAGTACATGTAAACTGACAGTATCAAATATGGAATGGTTTGTTTGTGCTTGAATATATTAATTACAATTTAATAATCAATATGAAATACTTTTATAACTGTGTTGACAGTAATTTTGAAGGAAGTCTTTTGTAGCATAAAGTTGTGTAGACTGTAGTTATTGATTATTTTACAGTGTATCATGGTGTAAGGGAATTTGGGCAGGTGTACTGGGTAAAGTTAGTGCTGTATAAAGAAGTGTAGTGCTGAAGAGATGGGTATGTAGTCAACATACAGACGTGAGTGTAGTTTGCTGTTTTAACATAATTTTTACTTCATTTGCACAGTCAAGACATTAAATCAAAATATTGCATAGGTTTTAATTAAAATTATACTGTTAATTTTATAAAGTAGATAAATTATATTTGTTTTTAGCAATATTACATTTAATATAGTATTATTTTTAACAGAGTAAAATGTGTGTATTGTTACTTACAGTTCGTTGCTGCAATTTTCTGGACACTCCATTCGGTGACCTTCCCTCAAATACTCGGGTAGTTTATTTGTGGGGATGCCTGGATATGGGTTAGCTCCAAGTGTCACAATTTCCCATAGAAGTATTCCAAATGACCAACTGCAGACAGAACATATTTGGCAGTTAGTTTACTGAGAAGGTGCCTTGCAGCTCATTAATACCAGCAAGTATGCTAGGATAGTTAGGCCATAATAAATCACTAATCACAGCACAAATTTTTTCTCAGTGATTTGGTATGCTGGTCATGTATATTTAACTAAAAATTACTCACACATCACTTTGTGTGTTATACACTTGACGGAAGAGTGACTCAGGAGCCATCCATCTGACTGGTAATCTTCCAGATCCTTTCTTGTGGTACACGTTTTCTTCGTAGATGTCTCGGCTCAGCCCAAAATCAGAAATCTTGACTTTTCTGTCAGCACATACCAGAACATTTCTAGCTGCCAGGTCTCTATGCACCACACGGTTGTTTGCCAGGTACTCCTAGGGAACATTGGGATGATATGGTACCTCAGAGTCTGAAGCACTAGTTTGGTTATTATTCTGAACAAAAATAAAATAACTTTTATGATATGATTATTGATTTATTCTGTGAACAACCCATTGTGAAGCTACATTCCAACATCACTGCCATCCTACTTAATTACCCACTTATTTATTGATGTGGAACGTGAAGGTTACTGTTTGCCAACAATTACCAATAGGTTCTTTCAGCCCACATAATTGCATTGTGATGTCAACTATCCTGACTGGTGTTTCAGTTGTTAACTCACATCCTACAAGAAGAATGACAGGTTATAATAGACCTTACTTTTAAATAGGCTATGACTAATTCTTCCCACACCCTTTTCAGTTCACCTTACATAATCATCTCATCTCATTCAATTAAGTTGCCTCTGTAGTTTATGTGATATCATTAGGCAATATATGAATGATCTACTGGAACTACATACAAATAGCATCAATGTGAATAACACAAATTAGGCATATAGGAATGCCTTACCATTCCATTAGTTTGTATTTGTAGGATGTACAAATGTTTCAGTAATTCACCCATTTGCCAATTGGTTTTTAAAAGGATGAGACCTCATTGTTTTCATCCAGAATACTTCAAAAGCCAATACAGGATAAGTGAAAAGCTGTCAAAGATATTAATTCTGCATACAGTGGAGTGTCACAGTGTCATAAAGTATTTGAACTGGGAGCCTTTATCATTAAAATATGTTTTTCAATAATGAAGGATATTTATCAATAATGCAATTGGTTTGTGCCTTTGGGTTTACTGAATATGTATATTTGTATGTATGTTTGCCAAAAACTCGAGAAAAGACAAACCGATATGCATCAAAGTGGAAAGAGGACAGAGGGAGGTCAAAATTTTGGAAAATGTCTTGACTTCAAGTCCTGGTGAGGTTAGGTTCCTGTAGGTGGGAAACTAAGCATGATAGAAGAACAGTGTCAAGACAAAAGTTCTTTGTTTCTAAGAAACTTATATAAACAAAGGCAAATCCCCGAAAAATTGTTCTGGGTTTGATTCCCGGTGAGATGGTTTCTGTAGCTAAGCACAATAGAAAGGCACAAAGAACAAAATTGTTTGTTTCGGCTAGGAGATTACGAGAACTAATGTCAAACCAGAAAACTGTCCTGGGTTCAAGTCTTGGCGAAGATGGGGTTAGAGATCTTTTTCTAGGACATTCAACCATACATATCGGAGTGCTGAAGCCTCTGATAAGCTTTCGGATAATAAAAGTTAATAAGAAAAGTGAGAGTTTGTTGAATATCCCATCAGTAACACTGTGGGCACTCTGATAGTTCTAGTATGTTTCAATAGATATAATCCCTGTTAAACATTCTGATTAAATAAGGGGTTTCTGGAATATGTCCTCTTGGGAGAATAGTCCCACTGCATAAGTAGAGAAAGCTATTACATAATGGAGTGTGCGATTTTGAGTTGTATGCGTAACGAAATATTCATAGCTTGCCTGGAAGCCCTTATTACGGAGTACATGAAGTTGAGGATATGTTAAAATGAGTGTAGAATGCCAAAGTCATAAAGTTTAATAGACCTATAAAACGACAGTCCCTGAGGAAATTACTGTAACTTCCTTATCGTGGTGCATGTTCCATTGGTTATCTCAGCTTTCAGATGTAATGTAAGTTATGTAATGTATGGATTCCTGAAGACCAAATTGTTCTGAATTGTCAGGCGATTCTTATTACTAGCTTGAAGAAAGTGCTTGGTGGTACACGAGACAAACAGCATGTTCGTGCACTGCAATTAATGGAAAACGAAATTTGACTAAACATCACAAAAAAATATAAAACTTAGCCATCACCAAATTGCATGCTTCAAGGTCACGGAAGGATTGCACACCCCCTCCTCTCTCCTTACCGGGCCGCTCTGTTGAATCAGTACGGTGTATGATTTTATGTGACCTTGAAGCACATAATTTAGTGACGGCTCGTATATCTGTGATTGTTTAAGTGATATTCTTCACACCCGCTTGTGTTTCGTGTGTGTTGTGTTATATTATTTTGTGAGGAACAAGTTAAGACATGTATGCATAATGTATTAATTCTGAAGTTTTCGCCATAATTTGACACTTGACCTTCATTTCACCCCCGCACTCTAATACCTACGTCTTTTGCAGGCAAAGTCTGATTTTTTTCGTTAGATGTAAGTAGATGGTTTCGAGTGAATTCACTCTTAACTTTTATGTAGATTGCAACGTTCCTGAAATTGTAGATTAAAAATAAGGGACTAGATTAATTGGTATCAAATTTTCTGCCCAGTTCTTTCAATACGAAGAACCTAGAGTATCATCAGCATTAGTTTCATAGTTAACCTCGAACCCCTATATTGTCGAATGAATCGATTCAGTGGGTGAGAGCGCTTATAATCATGCTTAAATATCGAGAGTAATCGATCTGTTTCGTCAGATCACCACGATATACATATCTGTAATAGCATTTACTCACCATGCCTATTGCAGCTTGTCTCGCGAAGGACAGCAGATCTGTCGGCGAAAGCTCCTGCCATAGTTGCGAACTGTCATCGTCTGCCATCAGCAATACAGAAGTAACATGTAAGTACATAATTAACATTAATAATTTTATAATTATCAGTTGATCAGCCTTTGAAAAAAGAGATTATTGGTTCAGATTCTTTTGGCACTATGCAACGGCAACGAACGAAGATGGATGCTAATTATAAACACTCCAAGCTGTAGTATCGATGTTGGACAGTAGAAGCGCCGGCGGTAATGGTGGAAAAAGGACCGACTCAATACTCAACCCTTTAACGCCCATTGGTAACTATATCTACCACCTGATTTAACAATCATTTGACTCTTCATTTTGTCCACAATGTATTTGCGGGTTTAATAGCTGAAATTTTAAATATTTTTCCGTGTTTGTAATTGTGCGAAATAAAATGTTTAGTACAGAATTTATAGGATTTTTTTATCCATCTCGATTCGAAATTTTATATGTTTAACTTTACTGCTTAACGCTAATTACTTCCATAAAACTTTAGGCTAAATATAGATTATCGCGGTGGTCATGTTGATATTATAACGGTAGGAAATTATTAAGTACAGATGTGAAATAGTCGAGTAGTTTCCAGTGGCATGACAAAAACTACATTATAGCAGCTGTAACCAAATCGTTTCAAGGCCACGGAAAGATTTCGCCCCCACTTACCTCACGGCTTACAGTCACCAGTACAACATTGCTAATTTTGCTACGCTGCGAATTCTGAGCTCTCTTCGCTCGCCTGGGCTCAGCTCTTCGTGTTGCTACTGAGTACGATTTTTCTGTAGCTTTGAAGGATGCAATTTAGTGACGGGTATTAAAAGCTTTATTAAAATCTATCGATTCCTAAGACTTTATCAGGTCGGGACAGGCATACAGAAGGAGACATCATATACAGTGAAAATTGCAACAAGATACTTTATCATCCAGATCTGCCCTTAGAATACTGATGTAAAATTTAATGGAATTTCTCGATTTCCAGTCTATTAAACAGGAGTGCTGGCTGCGTCAGCTGCTCTGAAACCACTTACCATTCTCGATGCCGTATGTCTGATTCACCACCGCTCCCGGAAATTGGTTCACAGATTCGCCTTCACCTGTAGTAAGAAGACAGACTTTCATGTTGTGTTGTTTTGGTTTAGTGTCTTCGATAACAACAAAGGAAGGTTTAACTCTCTGAAAGATTATTTCTGTGGTCACGGTCCGGCTGTCCTTCTATAAACATGTGGAGATAATTAAAGTAAAATAAAACAAGCGGTTGAATGCTGCCTTAACCCTTTTCAGCCCGAAGCTCATCCAAATTATATATAATAATTTATTCAGCACCTCAAAAGAAACACAAAACTTTCAAGTAGGTTTTGAGGTGCTCACGGAGTCGAGCATGAAGATGGCTCTAGAAGTTTCCCGACGTTTCAGAGGTACTTGCTACCACCGTTATCAGGGCAGTGGTGGAGGTAGCAAGTACATCTGAAACGTCGGGAAACTTCTACCAGACAACACGGCACTGCAATTTAGAAGGTAGCCATTTCTATAATTTCAATGGGTCAATGCTCTTTAGGGAAATAATAGCTGTTTGCTCCGAGAGTCATACGAAGTTCTCAAATGCAGAGTTTATGATTATCAAAGCAGGTGGTACCAATGGGCTTTAAAAGCTAATGTAGGTTCTAAAGCAGAATTCTTCTATAAGAACCAGTGATAAATATTGGTATGTTTCGTATTTTATTTAATGAACACGTATTAGGTAAAGAGATTTTGTTAGCACTAAATGACATGTGAGGATGACGTATATGGCGATGCAGGGAACATTTTGGAAATTATTTTAGTTTTGCCAGGTGAGATGAATAAAAACCACGAAAAATTCTGTCTGGTACTTCGGCGGAAGTCGAATCGTATGTACAGTACATTGCGATAGAGTGGTTAGTAGCAATCTTGGTTCATATTGGAAAAGTCCCGAGTTCAAATCTGAACTTGGAGGTCGGTTAAGCTGACAGATTTTTCGTGATTTTCCTCAGTATCTCGAATTAGTACCTTAAATCAGAACGAGACCACTTCCTTCCATATCCTTTTCACTTTGTGATATATTAATTATCCCATCATTCGACCCTGTATAGTTACAGCTCCTGATAGCGTCGTTAAATAAAAGATAAATATATAAAATATAAACGAGTACCTCTGAAAAAAAAAAGCTGTCTAGATCTCATTTTAACCTGATCGGGTTTTTTGTTACGGACATAAAACGTAATCCAACTGCGTCTGAAATGGGCTTAAGAAGCATTCTCGACGAAAAGGTGGATGGCAATGACATCGAAATGCTCACGATAGCATACCACAGAATGTCCCAAAAAGATGTATACACACATTCAATAAATGCGAGCAACTGATAAAGGGTCACCAAAGTTGCTGGTGTGTATAAATCTTTTTGGGACAACGTGTATCGCAGCAGTGGTATGCAACCTGCGGTCCCTCTCAACCTTTTTATGCAGCTCGTCAAATTATTTTGGAATTAACCAGTAGGATAAGAGTAAATATTTGCTGTTCCTGACAAATGTTAATATAAATATTTTTTTCAGTGTCTAAGCGTAAGAGCAAACAATATCAGTCAATATTTTAATTGAAATAATAAAAATGTTGTAGATGTAGTCCGATAACGTTAAAATGCCCAATTGCGCATAGGTACCTTGTTGCATTGTTCAACCCATGTGAAATGAAACAATAAGGAAATTAATGCGGTTTTAATAACTGAAATAGCATAAAACGAAAATTGACTTCAAAATCAGAAGTGTTGCCAATAAACAACGTCTTTACATTGAACACAGTTATATGTACAACAAAAGCTGTTATCCGTTTGCAAGTGGATATTAGCTACATTTTTTAAAGTTGGATAAATAGAGTTCAGTTTACTGTCTACGTCATTACCAATTTTTGTCTGCGACCCTCGACAAAGATATAAATAGCCACTGCGGCCCTCGATAATAAAAAAGTTGTCGAGTTCTGTGTCTACAGCAATAAAACATGTTTATAAACAAAGTCAACCGGTTTCTATTTCAATAGCTGTCTGTTCATATTGACAAGACTCTGCAGTGACTGCTTTTAGGTCACCTATAATTTCGCTTCAGTTTTATAACTGTGGACTGAATCAACTGATTTTTTTGTAATTGGATACCGGGGCGTAATCAAGGTCTCTTGAAGTATTTTAATTTTTACTCCATGTTGCTTGATACTATAATACCTTGATTCAAATGTTACTCCATATAAAATTCAAATTATAATTTGAATTTCCATCTGCTACCACTTCACATTTGATTATTACGTACATGCGTTGCGATCAAAGGCCAAGTAAGTGTTCATCAACGCGATATAATAGCTTCTATTTCCATTGAAATATATAAATATATTAAATTACAGTCAATATAAATTATCTGTTATAACCAAAGCCTGGTAGAAATTATTCTTATAACTACTAGCATGTCACAAAATTGTATGTTTCAAGGCCACGGAAGGACTTCATCCTCCCCACCGGTTATCAAAATCATATTCATGCTGGTTTGTTGATATTCAACATAATTAAAATTATTGTTTCCTACAAAATAAGTAAAGGCAGACATGTTAATAAATTGTCCACGCTGACTTCAGTGTATGAGGCAGTTGTATTTTATCACAGCTCACACAGTAAAACGTATTACTTTAAAGAGAAGGCCAGGTCTTTAACATACTTGTGGTCTCCTGTGCTAGGAGCTCAGCGTACTTCACTGTCTCAGACTGTATCACTATAGCATCAGGTTTTCTCTCCGTACTCTTCATCATTTCACTCCATTTCTGAAATCAAACCAGTGTTAAGAGAACCAGCGTTTCTCTGTTATTCCAAATACCCACGAATTTTCAATCACTATTTTCTCAACGAAGAGGAATGGTCAATAAATCTTTGAAAATGTTGACTTCCAGCTGTGTGGCTGGAAACGTGTATTTTGGGCCACTGTTTTAAGCCAATTCGTTCTTGATACATAACACAAATAAAATGTTATAACACTTTTAAATTATATTTTTATTTGTGATCATAGTGTGGATATCTGGTATTTTAATATGCAAAACAAAATTGTTCTTGGACCACAAATGCAACGAATACCGGTATGTTAAGACATACATAAGCACATACACATATGTATACATAGCTAAGTTGGCCATTGTGTATTTCCACTAGTCTTCTAGATTTGGACAAGGTTAACTCAGAAAAAGAAGCCTCTCGTAAACGTTCCCTTTACACATTTTGTTGACACTGCACAATTTTAGGGTTTATTAGTTGTTTTATGACTAACAAAATTGTTCGATCTAGGTAACCAGGCAAGAACCTAGTCACACTTTATTTCTACACATGTCTGCGGTCTGTCCTTGAACTTGGTCGGCAGTTATGGTTGTCGTTATCAACATATTTATGTGAACATTCTTCATCTAAACAGACCATACTCGGTCCATTTAGCTCTCTTTGCAGTGGTAACATTAACGAGAAACAGAAACCTGCAATTATCTGAAGGATGTTATGTGTATGAACAAAAGGCTGGTTTACGAACCGTGAAAAATAGTCGCATATAGGTCTGTTTATTACAGAATTGTAGTAAAATGATCCCAAGAATCGCACAATTATCTGTGGATGGAAAATATTGCTTTTAACATAATATTAGTTTGTGTTCAATAGTCTTCAATATATTTTTCCCAGAAAGTGTAATTGTCACTTGATTAAATTTTTGATTTGTTGATTCAATTATCGAAAATGCGTTATAAAAATACTTTTCTAAAATTAAAGGTTCTAAGAACTTGCTTGGACGGGTGTCTGGTCCACGTAGTGACTCGTTAAAAGTTTCTGATGTCTGTGTACAGAAAACACACACACACTCGGACCCCACCTAAATCTAAAATAGAAATTTTTTTACAGGAGATTTAGAACAAGAGATGTCATGAGAATAATAGGCCTAAGAGAGAAGTAGGGGAGGGGACATTAACTTATAATTTTCGATTATGATAGGGTACGAACTACCAATGAATAGCGGAAAATAGGAAGGGAACCAGGAATATGAAGCAAAGCAGAGGTGCGAAGAACTGGGCTTAATAACGCTTACTGTCTCTAAACACTTCGGTCTGCGTAGGGACAGGCAGGATTGGTAAAGATCTAATGTTCAGGCCGTGCACATTTGAGCAGAATTTTGGCTATTGTGGATTCGTGTACAATTTTAATGTTGCACAGAGCCTCGTACTTCGATTGTTTCTTTGTAACACGTTTGAAACCGTAACTGACTGAAAATTGTTACCAAAAGACGTACCTGAAAGTTACGAGACTCAATCTTAGGTTTGTGTCACCATCATGAGTGCATTTTACAAGAGAAATCTTTAAACAAAATTTGTACTCATGTTTAATGGCTGTCAATACTCGAGATTTAAATTCATGAGTTGCTTGATCAAGCAAGAAGGTAAATATCTGGCTTTGTGTTCTGAAGGTACCAGGTTCAAATCTCGGTCAGAAGACCGGTTAACCTGAATGAAGTTTTGTTGCTTTGCTTTGGACCCAACAGACAAGTATATTATTTTAAATAGGCTACGACCTTACGAGATCTTTCCTCTATATCCTCCCCAATGCATTATTTACTAATCATCATAACATTCGGCACTATGCAGTCTGATCTACTGACAGCATCGTTAAGTAAACCTTATATACTGATTATAATTCAAGTCAATTAATTTATTTTTGTATTTGACAACAGCCAAAGGAAGCCTATTACAGCTAAGCAATAAAACAATACCGGCAAAATAATAACGCAATACAATCTACAAATGACGTAAGAGAACAAAAAATAAGATTAAAAACAATAATAGTAATATAAATTAAATTGATTACACAATTACAGTGTTTAAATTCATGTTCCGCAGAAGCAGTCGAAACAGAAGTATATTTTAAAGCTCTTGTCACAAAATACATATCACGTTTATCAGTTTATAGCTAGTATTAGTTCCACACCAGAAGTTGCCACAGCCACTAAAACGCCTTTGAGATCAAGGAATTCTAAGGTGTAAACATTGGAACGCCTTTCGCATCGCTGCATTCAAATCGAGTTCTATGAAATCGATTAATTAATTTACTTACTGGGACAACTCAAACGCACACGAGACCATTACAACGTCAAGTTTCATTTTCCGTAAAAAAAAAGCATGAGTAGGAGAATATCGGGTGCGAAAAGAAAACTGCTTTATAAATCTCTTCATGTTCGTAGAGAAAGTAATCCAGCAAGGACAAGAAAGACGGAAATTGTAACACGCATTGTCAGACAAATTCGTGCAACATTTTTGTTGGCAAACGTCAAGGAGTGAGACTACTTTGGAATCTTAGGTTTAGACCGGAGGATGATATTGTTAGGCTAAATTTGAGAAAATGGTTTGTGTATACATCTTTTTGGGATGTCCTGTAGATATAAATAGGTAAATAGATAGGCATAGGTAGATAATGGGTATAAATAGGTGGGTATAGATAGACGATTGAGATGTAGGCAGATGATAATGTGCCGGTGTGTCTTTTTTGGGGACTGCACCTTGCGCAGGAAGTTGAGCAGGTCCCCTTGGGCACAGTACTCCACGACGAGTCTTAGTAGGTCGTCGCTGGTACAGCAGCCAATCAGAGACACGATGTTCGGATGTCTACCGACGGACTGCATCATGATGATCTCTTGCCTGAACTGCCTCACTTCCTCTGCGCTCGGCTTCTCTGGTGATCATACCACATCGTATTGATTTACTAAAGCAGAGCTTTGTCAGTAGTCAGTTGACTCTGAATGCAAATTTTATTTCAAATTTTTATTCTATGCTAATGTCCTGCCGGTAACTTAATCACATTTTCTTGGCAGGCCAAGAAGTGCTATTTTTCGTGGCACCGTGATCGTTTGCAGGAAAAATGCAATTAAACTGACCCAAAACTTGTCATGCATATCGTAAAATAAGCCGACTTCTCTTATATAATGTTTCTAGTTATTCTCACCGCGGTTATAAGTCTGTTAACAAAATTGTTACAAGCACATTATACCAAGAGACGCCGTAGTACACCAGCGTTTTTAATTAAAATAATTATTACAAGAACGCGTTCTGTACCAATTTCTATGCATAATTTTTATTATCATTGTTTATTGCTGGTTTTGGGAAAAATTAAGTGTATTTTAATATTTAAAAGTTGAAAGCTACGTATTAATGAAGGGAAAAAACAATATTTTTTTTACGAAGATGGCTGTCTTATAGGCTGTAACACCGTGTGATTTGGTAAACGTTTACCAGCATTTCAGAGGTCCTCATCGCCCTGATGATGGAGGTAGGAAGAACCTCTAAAATGTTGGTAAACTTCTACTAGATTATGCGGCGCTACAATCCAGAAGACAGACATCTTCAAACTCACCACCGTGAGAACCTCAAATCCTACTTAAGTACGTTTAAAAGTAATTTACGGTAGAAACTATTATGAGCTTGATTGCATTATACACTAATATAAAAATGTTTGATTTGAATACAAGTGAAGTGTTTATAACCACCTCTAAGCATCTTGACTGCCACGTCTCGCCTGTCATTGCCTTCTTGAACCACTCCTTTCCGAACGATACCAAAGGCTCCTTCTCCTAATACTTCACTCAGGAGCAGATTCTCTCTCGGGATCTCCCACTTTGCATCGAAATCGACGTCATATTCAACAGAACTGCAGTCCTCTGTTCGTAAAGGCGACTTCTGGTCCAGCGTCTGATAATTCATGAGTGAAAATACCAACCAATCGATGTTAGAAATAAATGCGAAATATTTCTGTAGCATCATGTATTCAAGCTGGCTTATAATACAGAAATAATGTACCCATTTTCATTAATTCCTGTTGTATATGTAGGCATGTTATTACTCTGTAAATGCAGTAAAGCTATAACTGCAGTGAATGTGCATAGTGAGAAAGCTGACCTACTGGTAGTTCGAATTTTTTCGTGCCTTGTGGTCACATGTTCGCCAATTTCGAAGTTGCATTTCAAAGTTGAAGCCAATATATTTCATTAAATACAAGTTAATGTCATAAATGTCAAGTTGTATATATATATATATTTCAGTGTATAATTATAATTATTAGGTAAATATTCTGAATAAACGATATAATTATTTTCTTGGCTTCATATTATAGTAACTCTGGAAAAGAATATAGATTAACTGACTGGGAAGATAGTTATCTTTTTGTAACCATGCACAAAACAGTGTGAGATGCTAATCAGCCTTCGGAAGGAGGGGGGTGGTTATAGATGACTGGGCGATAAACTTACCATTCATCTCTGTCTGGTGCCATGGTTCAATATAAGTTACGTAATCCTTGCTATATATATTGTAGCCACAGACACAACAATGCCAGACACAATAATGTCTAACGCAACAATGGTTATAAACAAATACAACAATGCCAAATACAACAATGTCTATAAACGGTTACAACAATGCCAGACGCGACAATGTCAATAAACAGACAACTAAACTGTTTATTGACATTGTTATGCTGCTCTCAAAGCAACACGTCACAATATTTTAAAGTATTCGTCAAAAATATTTCTACGCAAATAATTAATTTTTCTTAAATTATTCCTTAAATCTGAACATTTCTTAAAATACAAGGATGTTCTTTCCCTTTGACCAGCATATAAATCTTACAAAATCCCGTTCAGACTTCCATATCAAGTTATTTTCCATTACTTAGTATATCATAATATTTACCTACAAAGTCTAGAATTTAGTGTACAAACTTTAGCACTTACAGATATTTTTGTTGAGATTGTACACATAGAAAAATATAGTATGAAAATAAACTTTCCTTCACTTGTTAATCATGAAAGTTTATTTTAATATACTTATAATGAATGAATTGCTGTATCGGCTATATAACAGCTATCAGCTAATGAGTCTAAGTAATTAGAATCCTACGAACGTTTAAAGTAGTAGTTATTGAATGTGCATATTATTTTTAATGTCACAATACCACTTTCTCACCTCAATGTACTGGAATCTTTTTTCGTGTTGACGTACTTTCCCGCGACGATGGCAAACATACACAAATATGCCAGCAGCTATCGGCAACAGCACGACCGGAAGCAGAGTGAGAGACAGGGTCTGTGCACTCCACGCGGGGCTTTCTGTAGAGAATATGGTATATATTTTTTAAAAGATATTTTTGCTTCTTTCGAGAGTTCATTACCACGTTCTCGTCCTTTAAGTGCATCAGTTTAAATTCTGTTTGCATTTCATAACAACCACATACATTCCTCAGAGACATAGTCTCACCCCAATGTAACATTGAACAATGTAGTTCATCTTACTTGAATTCGAAGTGTTACTGTTGGCGTGGAAATCGTCGATTGTCCTGATCACAATTGCTCTTTCGCTGGGTCCAGCTGGGGATACAGCTTCCACTGTTACTTCATATTGCAAACCCACATTCAACGCGTTGAACACCACCCACGTAGAATTCTGTTGCATGACAGATTTACAAGTGCAATGAGAACTTATTTGTATTTTGTCCAGTTTAACGTGTCATTATATGGAACTAATATTATCGACAAAATACTGAATTGTCAATATACAAGCGCAAACACACTATAATCACAACATTCACTTTTCAAAAAGAAACACTCTTAATTTCGTTCAGTATTGAATTTCTAATGTATTTATTGCCTCTAACTTAGCTCTGTAGAATCTTACGATGGAAGATAAACGAAGATGAGATAGTCAAGGATTTCAGAAATTAGATTAGCATATTTGTTGGTTTAAAGTTGTTGATTGGAAAAGGGCCCGAAGCTGACGATAGAATCGATACAATCAGTAAATACGAGTATTTCTGTATAGACTACATTTAATCATCAAACAATTAGATTTAACTCACTCCAGTGACGTTCTTTTGTGCAAGAATGGAATAATCCTCGGGTATTTTTCTAAACAGCTCGACCTTGTGAAATGAAGGCTGCACGGCGGGCGTTGCCCAGGACACAGTGACGTCACGAAGCTGAGAGCCGTTAAGCTCTTTCTCTTGTACTGACACATTGCTCGGCTTTGGAGGAACTGTAATATACCACACTTGGCCGTAGAGACGCTCAAGAAATATAAAATCATAAAACACTCTTAGTGTTTAAAAAGAAACATACAACCTGGCATTCAAAACTAAAAAAAATAATGTTATTAGAGGCATTTATAGTAAGTGTCACTAAATTATATGCTTCAAGGTTATAGAAAAAAGTTTGTAACTTTGCAACACTAATAGCGAAGCCAAGGTGAGTGAAGACAGCTCAGAACTAGCAGGGCAGCAAAGCTAGCATCGCTATACTAACGATTTACAAGTCGCACAGTGTTTCCGTGGTCTAGAAGCATGCAATTCGATAGTTATTATAGTGTTCGTTGCCTTGAAAACGTTAAATTCAAGTGTTTTGCGTTGTAATAAAATAGCAACGAAAGGAAAATATAATAATTTATTTGCGGGTATCGATTTAACTATGTTCATACTTTAGGATGGTTCTAATATATTTGATAATTTGGAATCCACAATGTTTGGCACGGAGCTTAGAGAAGTGTTGAGTACAAGAAAAGCCAAGTAGTTGGAATTTTTATTTCTCTTTTGTCATGCCAGAACAGCTCTAAGACTTACGCAGCCTTCTAACCAATGGACTCCGAGAGGACTCTGTCCCTAGTATAAAGGAATATAGAGCGTGAAGCTGGGCATCTTTGTCTATCTAGTATTAAAATAAAGACATTATTTTGCTTTGCGTAGTTTTTGGAAGTTAAACTTCAGTAACGTATTTTTTGTGGACTGAATAGACGCCTCAAATAAAGTCAGCTTGACAAATTAGAACGTGATTATACATTTGCTAATGTACTGTTCTGCATAAATGACAATTATAAACATATGTTTAATACTCTTGCAGTTTGTCTGTGTCATGAGTGTATAGGCCTAAATAAAAAATACTCACAGTCACATATAGTATGATGAGTGATTTAAATTGAACCTAAAATTAAAACTAAAATGCCAAAGTGGTTTAGATTTAAAACAAAAAGTATAATATTAAAATTATTTAAATTACATCTATAATTAAAAGTAAAATGTGAAATTTATTTAAATTTTATTTAAGGTTGAAATTAAAATATGATATCATATTTTGTTTATATATAAACCACACACCAACGTCATGATAATAGACTGTAATTACTTCCTTGTGGTTTGTGTTATGGAAATTCCCAGTAAATATATTTACGTGGGCAGTGCATAAATCGAACGAACTTGTTTCAGTCCTTAAACACAGCAATTTTTACTTTCTTACTGGCAGACATTTCACTTAAAAGTTGCTTTCAGGCTACAAAGGAAATTTACTCTGGAAGATATGAAAATCTATTTCGAAGGAAACAATTAGTTTGATTTCTAGAAATTGTTTCAAATTTTATTTTCAAGACACTTTTTCAGTTAACTTGCGCTGCATCGCCAGTTGAAATAATCAGTACATACTAGAATGGCTGCATATTTTGTTGGTTGTGGGTTCTTTCGGCTTGAATTCAACTCTCAAGACTAATTTTATATGTGAATGTAAACCTCGAAGCAGAAGATAACGCGTTGAATATTAATGTTAAGAATCTTCTAACGAAAGCCACGACTCTAGGAACGTAGGTCGTTTACATTTTCGCACTGCTACTTGCAACGGCATGCACGTGGGATCCATTATCTGTCGCGGTCAGGTACAATTCTTACGCTGATAAAGACAAACGTAACTCTCACTTCCCGGTTCCCGGCTGGAAATGCATGACTCACACCGACAAGCGGTACAATGTTTTCAAGATATGTGTTAAATATCGCTCTTTAATACAATGAAATGAACTTGCCTATATTTTTACAGTTCCTGACCGGAGCCGAGAGGTGACAGTTGCGTTCAACTTTATCAGTGATATTGGATATTTGTTTATTTATTACTGAAATATGGTTAGGTTTACTGCAAAATATTTCTTACAAAATTCAGAGATTTAAAAGTGAACGTTAATCCAAAACATTATGTAACTACTAAGAACCTGTTATATCTAAAATTCTCTTCGAATTGTCCAGAATGCATGTATTTTGGAGATACCTGTACTCACCACATTTTGTTAGGTCATTTTGATGATACTGGAGGCAAAGAGGAGTTGAGAAATTGAACCAAGATTT